TTACCGAACCTTGCGATCCCATCATCTGAGGATCGTATTTTTTTGGCCAATGCCATGGTGTTGGCAATTGGAACTCCCAGTCATGAAACATCATGAAATATCATACTGTCAGAATGGATTTAGATCCATGGAGATTGTATGAATCAGTAAATCTCAGCCCTAAAAACGACAAAGGACTAGGTTGACTAGGTACTCAGCTCCAAGCTTCGGAACTCTTCGAAAATCATCGAAGAACACTGCATATGTTCGTATGAATACTCAACAACATATGCATAGTTTTTTGAACATGGGAGTATAATATATCTATCTATCTATCTATCTGTCTGTCTGTCTGTCTGTCTATCTATCTATCTATCTATCTATCTACATAATCTAATCTTATCTAATCTTATCTAATCTTATCTGATCTTATCTGATCTTATCTGATCTTATCTGATCTTATCTGATCTTATCTTATCCTATCTTATCCTATCTTATCCTATCTTATCCTATCCTATCTTATCCTATCATATCCTATCTTATCCTATCTTATCCTATCTTATCCTATCTTATCCTATCTTATCCTATCTTATCCTATCTTATCCTATCTTATCCTATCCTATCCTATCTTAGCCTATCCTATCCTATCCTATCCTATCTTATCCTATCTTATCCTATCTATTCCTATCTATTCCTATCTATCTTTTCCTATCTATCTATTCCTATCTATCTTTTCCTATCTATCTATTCCTATCTATCTATTCCTATCTATCTATTCCTATCTATCTATTCCTATCTATCTATTCCTATCTATCTATTCCTATCTATTCCTATCTATTCCTATCTATTCCTATCTATTCCTATCTATTCCTATGTATTCCTATTTATTCCTATCTATTCCTATCTATTCCTATCTATTCCTATCTATTCCTATCTATTCCTGTCTATTCCTATCTATTCCTATCCATTCCTATCTATTCCTATCTATCTAATCTAATCTAATCTAAACGAATCTAATCTAATCTTATCTATCTAATCTTATCTATCTAATCTTATCTATTTAATCTTAGCAACCAACTCTTATCTAATCTTATCTAATCTTATCTAATCTTATCTAATCTTATCTAATCTGATTTAATATGATCTAATATGATCTAACCTTATATAATGTCATAATATCTTATATAATCTCATCTAATCTTATCTAATCTTATCTAATCTTATCTAATCTTATCTAATCTTATCTGTCTATCTGTCTATCTGTCTATCTATCTATCTATCTAATTAATCTATTAATCTATCTATCTATCTATCTATCTATCTATCTATCTATCTATCTATCTATCTATCTATCTATCTATCTATCTATCTATCTATCTTATCTATCTATCTATCTATCTAATCCTATCGATCTAATCCTATCGATCTAATCCTATCGATCTAATCCTATCGATCTAATCCTATCGATCTAATCCTATCGATCTAATCCTATCGATCTAATCCTATCGATCTAATCCTATCTATCTAATTCTATCTATCTAATCCTATCTATCTAATCCTATCTATCTAATCCTATCTATCTAATCCTATCTATCTAATCCTATCTATCTAATCCTATCTAATCCTATCTAATCCTATCTAATCCTATCTAATCTTATCTAATCCTATCTAATCCTATCTAATCCTATCTAATCCTATCTAATCTTATCTAATCCTATCTAATCCTATCTAATCCTATCTATCTAATCCTATCCTAGCCTATCCTATCCTATCCTATCTATCTATCTAATCCTATCTATCTAATCCTATCTATCTAATCCTATCTATCTAATTAATCTATCTATCTAATTAATCTATGTATCTAATTAATCTATCTATCTAATTAATCTATCTAATCCTATCTATCTAATTAATCTATCTATCTAATTAATCTATCTATCTAATTAATCTATCTATCTAATTAATCTATCTAATCCTATCTATCTAATTAATCTATCTATCTAATTAATCTATCTATCTAATTAATCTATCTATCTAATTAATCTATCTATCTAATTAATCTATCTATCTAATTAATCTATCTATCTAATTAATCTATCTAATCCTATCTATCTAATTAATCTATCTATCTAATTAATCTATCTATCTAATTAATCTATCTATCTAATTAATCTATCTATCTAATTAATCTATCTATCTAATTAATCTATCTATCTAATTAATCTATCTATCTATCTCTCTATTTATTTATTTATTTATCTATTTCACCAATTTTCCCAATTGCACCATTTAGCAGTTGTACCCATTATACCACTTATGCCAATTTTAATAGGAAACATCATGATACACCATGGGAAGGAGCTCCCGGAGCAGCTGGGCGACCCAAGGGAGCCAGTGGGGTCAGTGGGGTCTGGATCCAACCTCTAGGGCTATCAACCATATCTATTTTGTATATAAATATGCGCATACCTTACGTTACGTTACCTTAGATTATATTACATTAGATTGCATCACATTATTTTAGATTGCATTACATTACATGACATGGGATTGGATTGCAGTACATTACATTACAAACCATACCATACCAATACATCCAATACATCACATCACCTACCTACCTACCTACCTTCCTTCCTTCCTTCCTACGTACTTACACGCATACATACACGCATACACATATGTACAAAAATGGGTCGGCCTGAAAATGGGGGTACTCCCTTATTATCATAACTTTCCTCTTTGAATCGCAATGCCGGCCGAACCCATCTGGGTATCTGGGTTGGTCGTTTTCATGGAACATATTGATGAACAAAGAATAACCAACATGAGTGAAAACTATCCAGATCTGGAAATCGTTCCCAAACATTAACAAGTTTGCGAGACGGGAAAAGCTGAAACAGCTCAACAATACGAATTATGTATAGTGAAATATCGTATGTAATAGTCAAAATTTTGCATTGAGACCCCGGTAACATGGCAATGTGTGGGCTACACCCGTGGCAAATTTTCTCGCAATCTTTCTTGCCCAGGGCAACGTAGAAAGTGGGGCGCCCAGATTCTGGGTTTGCGGGATCCCAACATATTGGTATTGGTATATATTCTTGAGTCTTGCGAGAGAATGAGAGAGAGAGAGAGATAGATAGATAGATAGATAGATAGATAGACAGACAGACAGACAGACAGACAGATAGAGAGATAGAGAGATAGAGAGATAGAGAGAGAGATAGATTATATAGGTAGATAGATAGACAGACAGATAGCTAGATAGATAGATAGATAGATAAATAAATAGATAAGATAGATTAGATAGATTAGATAGATTAGATAGATAGATAGGTAGATAGATAGATAGATAGGTAGATAGATAGATAGATAAATAAATAGATAAGATAGATTAGATAGATTAGATAGATTAGATAGATAGATAGGTAGATAGATAGATAGATAGGTAGATAGATAGATAGATAGATAGATAGATAGATAGATATACATGTATACACACATATATACATACATACACATATACATACATACACATATACATACAGGGATATATAGGTATATATGTGTAGGTGTGCATATATATGTGTATATATATATATAGTACGCATATATGCACATATATGTTTATGTAATTTTATCGCGACGTGATTTTCAGCCATAGGCACAGGCACGCGGCTACACTTTGTGGTCGGTCCTGAAAACCTGAAGGATGGTAGATTTTGCATCAGCCCAGGGTTGTTTGGCACGGAGGATTTCTTGTCCGTGTTGACTGGTAAACAAGAAATCATCCGCACTAAACAAGTAGAAACAACCACAATCAAGAAATCACCTGTGCGAAACAAACCTGTTTGTGTATATTTTTTGTATTATCTATTTTTATATTGTCCTTGAAATTGATTGAAACCACCAAGATAGGTATGGTTTGAAAGAATCTGAAGTTCCACCACCCACCCAGCCAGTTTGGCACTTTGGCCACTTATGTCCAGCTTCACGCTTCATTCTTGGAGGATAATTATACCGATATACCCTGTGGATCCTTGTGACAGCCACAATGTGGTAAATCATCAAACCAAATGGGCCATGGCTTCCAGCACACGGTGACATTACCAGAGGGTACATGTGCAGATGGCATACTTGGCTCATCCAGGATCCCTTCACGCTGACTTTTTTTTCAAGACGATTTGGGCCAATGGAGCAATGTTCAAAACCCCTGTTTGTTGATGATTCTATGGGATTATGCTACCCCAAAGAAGTGGGGACTACTACAATCCATTTTCAAAAATCCGTTCTTACCCAGTGTAAAGGGACTGTGAAAGAATTGGGCCGCAGGGCTTCACCATGTTTCAAGAAGCACAGGTCAGTTCTATCGCAGCCGCTTTTGGTTGAGAAATGTGATTGGCACCTTCCGGTAGCCGGCATTTATACATACTTTAAAATATGCACACACACATGCACACACGCACACACACACATATATATATATATACAGGCTTATATATGTATATGTATATATGTATATGTATATATGTATATGTATAAATGTATATGTATATGTATGTATATATTTAGCTGTCTATATGTATATATATATATGTATATTATGTATACGTATATGTATACATGTATATATGTATATGTGTATATGCATATGCATATGTATATGTATATGTACATGAATATTGCATATGTATATGTACATTTACATACACAGACATATATATATGTAACTGTATGTTTACAGATTTGTGTGTGTGGATGTTCGCATATTGAATTAAGTATGAATTTAAACACATTTTGGATTGGACTGGATTACATCCAATCAGACTAGATTGGAACAGATTTGACTAGATCATACGATCCGACAAGATTAGATTAGATCCGCTAAGATTAGATTAGATCCCTTAAGATTAGACCAATAGTATAGTTATGGATAACCATCTGATGACATCAAATGATGACTAATAATTAGTATAGATAGCCATCTGATTTATTGATAAATAATCCCCTTATAGATAGACGTCAATAAAAAACATCAGACATCAGATCCACATGGCGGAGCTTGAAGAGATCCGACAGCGCCGGGCTGCTGCCTGGGAGCGAGCGCAGGAGGTAGGTTCCGGTGGAAACTGGAGGTCACACACCGAAGAAGTTGAGGATTTCACATGGCAAAGTGCTAGTTTCAGGAAGCTAAAATGTTTTTTTTCAGGATTTTTCATGGATTTTCGGGGTTTGACATGGTTCAACCATTTGCACATGAGTCGAACCACGGACAAGAATGGAGGATTCAATACACAATTTGCAGGCGAAAAGGCAGCGAACCAGGAGTCAACAAAGTGCTGGCCAAGCCAAGAAAAATCAAGAACATTCGCTAATTAGTTGTGAAGCCACCAGGTTTGTTTTTACTTACTCAACACCTTAAATGGATGCAATGCATACCTATTTTGTTGATTTGGGTCGTGCCTTTTAATTTTTGAATTTTAGACTTGCAATTCAACCTCCCGACTAGGCTTTGGAAATCCTCAAGAAGCCTAGATTCCATTTTCCCTCAGTTTTTTTTTGCAGGTCCAATCTTTACCAATGCAATCAAACCTTGCAATTCCAAATTCTCCATGCCCGACAGCAAAATCCATCAAAATCCAGTAGATCAGTGTAGATAAAAACTCTAAAAACTCAATGGATTTTCCGTTTCCAACTTGGTCATCCCGGGATGGGTTGCAGGCGCAAGGACCGCAAGGACCGCAAGGACCGCAAGGACCGCAAGGACAAGGGTCGTCAGCTGGCAACGATGCTCCCGCAGAGGCGGGTTCGCTCCTGGAGACTACATTTTGGAATTTTGGGGTGCCCAACTGTAAGCCAAAGCTGGACAGTTTGGAGATTTTCGTGTCGGAAATGAACTTCAGGTCCCCTCCTTAAATGTCTGTACACAAACATTCAGCAACCTCAATTTTCGGTGGTTCAGTCCTTATTCTTTGGCCACCTCTTCCAAGTTAATTAAAGGCCGTCGTTTGGTTTCTTGCCTGTCTAAATCGATTTTATTGCACCTCGTCATCCAAATCATTCCAAATCTGAATATCATCCAATCTACGGCATATATGGGGAATTATGATGAATTATGGGGATATATATGGTACAATCTCCCATCTATCACAGTGCATCCGACCTATCCGGGTATCCATGGCCTTCTTTGGGCGCCGGTTTCCCACCAGGTGCCGGCTGCGTCGGCCGCGCCGGAGAGCGCGGAACGTTGCTGTCGCATCTGTTTCGACAGCTCCGAGTCCAAGGAGGGGCCAACGGCAACGAAGCAGTGGGGGTTGCGAAACAAAATATGGGTCAGGCAACCAAAAAAAGGGCAGGGTCTGTGCAGTCAATTAACATATTTGTGGTTCGTTGTGTTTAGCTATGAATAATGTGTACTGTATACAATTGTATACATAACGGTGTTTAAACGTGGAGGTTCGGCAAAAAACATGGGGGAATCTGGGTATAAAGCTATAGCCACTTGGAAATGGCCTCCTAGACGCATAAATGATGGCCAAACAAACCTATTACTGTAGCCGAAATGGAAACCATCACCTGGATCGGGTTTGGGATCTAGCACATTTGATCCAAATAGGAACTTGGGGTTAAGTTGCAGATAGCTGGGTCAAGATTCAGGTATGACCCGTAGAGACGGGATACAGTATGAGCAACTGTAATGCGAACTTTAGCTTCACTTGCCCTCGGCTAATTAAACATGGCAATGGAAAATCCCACGTTCTTTCGATGCTTTTTCCAGTAAACCATCATTTTCCAATATTTTGCCATGATTTCCCCATAGTTTTTCTCATCACTTAGGGCACTCCACATTACGCAGGAGACGGGGCGGCTCTTTAGCCCATGCCAGTGTACAGGTGCCATGCCTCCGTTTAGGGTGAAGCTCAGAATATTTGGAACACGGAGGCTTCATTATGTTTCATTAAATGTGAGTACCCCAAAATGGATGGTTAATGATGGAAAATCCAATGAAAAATGGGTGATATGGGGGTATTCTCATTTAATCCTCAGATGAATGGTTCACATGGATTGACATTCACCACTATTCACCATAAAAGAATCCATTTCATGCTTATGGTGCATTGCTATTTGTGCGCCATTGCAGTTCTCCAAGCCGTGGTTGTGCCTACTTGTGCATCATCCTCCAGTGATGTTGGGGTAGCCTACCCTGGCGCAGCAACACCCTTTTAAAGTTGCCTATTTGGGTGATATATATATATATCGTCAATAATTCTTCTTCTTTGTTATCTTCTTGTCATTCCTATTCTTATTCTTATTCGTCCAATTTACAATACTCATTGTTTTGATTGTATCATTATCATTTATTTTGTACATGTAACGTATGTTGTCCAATATAACAATATAACAATATAACAATATAACAATATATTAATTACATAGACACGCGCACACACATAATTTGTATATATATATATATACACATATCACACATGTAATATATATATTGTATATATGTATATACGAGTAAATTCCGGATCAGAAACTATCGAGTTATCGATCCGAATTCATCAGCGTCACTGGAATTAACATCCAAACGTTCGGATCAGCCTCTTAGAATTAGCGTCAAAGACCATCCTGGATCAACATCGTGTATAAATGGTCGGTATGGTTGGTATGGTCGGGATGAGGATTTCTTTTAGGGTTTCTTTTAGGGTTTCTTTTGGGTTTCTCCAGGGTTTCTTTTAGGGTTTCTTTTGGGTTTCTCCAGGGTTTCTTTTAGGGTTTCTTTAGGGACGCTCGAGATGGTCGGGATGGTCGGGATGGTCGGGACGGTCGGGGTAGCCCGCAAAGTTGCCATCTATACCCTCCCGATCCAAAACCATCCCGATCCAACCAATGTAGATTCCGATCCACTGACCCCGATCCAACCAACACCCATATATTTTATATATATATATATATTAATATATATTTTATCTGTTTATGTATAGTCATACAAATCAGCATCAACCCACACATGGATGGAATTTTAATGGTCATTCCTGCAATTAATTTGAATCAACATCTGGATAATGTTCTAGCCAATCAGGCCTGATTCTTGCAGGCTACCCTGTGAATTAACATATAGCTATGCAATGCTATGCAAATTCCAGCATTCATCGATGATTTCCTGTCCTGAGAAAGCCATCAGTTTTCCATGTTGTTTCTTTACTTTCGGGTGAGTCAGGGGTTGGTAAATGTCCCTTTTTGATCATCACCTTCAAGTATTTGTTGGGGATGAACAATCCCCAATAGTTGGGTGATGCTTACTCTAATTAGGACATTTACCAACCATTGTTACCAACCTGTAAGTGGAAGTACCTCTGGATCTCAGGCAGTATGCGCTTTGTGCACGTGCGTTGTTTGAACGATTGGCGCAGCGCCTCGTGCAACGACAGGCACCGGTAGGAAAAACATCGGAGAGTCGATGATAAAGCGAGGGATTTGCACACGTTCCGTGTTTGACTTCCTTTACCACACACAATATAAAAATATCAATAAATATAAATAATTTATATATATATATATGCATTATATATGCATATATATTCATTCATGCGCATGGCAAGCCTCGTTTTTTCATGTTCTTTCTTGGTACATGGCTGATCTCAGCCTATCGGATGAACTTTTGCAGGGTTATGTTCAAATTTTCCATGTTTCAACATCAAGATGCAGGGATTCCATCAGCGTCTCCTGTGGAGTCCGGCCGCGCAGGTCCTACTACCGCTGCGACGCCTGCCACTACGAGTACCGCCTGCAGCGCCTCTGGGTGGCCGATGTGCTGATTTCGCCAGGCTGAGACGGAGACAGAGATACATCGCATCGCATCATATCGCATCGCATCGCATACATACACACACAAATAGATAAACAAGATAGATGGATTTGAATAGACAAGATTGGGTTGTATTAGGTTTGATGAGATTAGATAACTTTTTTCTTGAGATAGCATTGGATAGCTAAGTGCCCCATGGCAATGATCCACCATTGGACGCAAGGCTTCCATTTGGCTCTGGCCATTAGCTGCTTTTCCTTCAGTGCTTTGATGGTTGGCATCCTTGGGCGCTTGCTGGTGCCATGGGTACCCCAGGATTCAGAATGGCTATGGCTATGGGATCAGCTTGGGAATCAGGGGAACCACTAGGTCACTGGGATGCAATGGGAAGTCCCACTAGGTCACTAGGTAATTCAGCTAGTAGTTGGAGATGTCCATTGCCGGCTTGGCCTGCGAGAAGCTAATTGCTTTGATTTTGGGGAAACCACTTTTTCAGTGGTTCAAGGGAAAATATGCAGACACCTTTCTATGGATGCGAAAATAATCGAAAATGCCATGCTTTCCTGTAAATTCTCTGAGTGAGCAACGGGAGGGCCAGATTGCGCACGAACGTGCAAGATAGTGTCATGATGCAGGTGTTCATGAATACTTGGTACGCGCCTTGCTGGATCCATCTGGATCCTGGCATATGTTGTGGGTTGAGGGGTCAGGAGGTTGGTTTCAACTTTAACTTTATGGCCTTTTGGAACTGTTCTCGTTTATATTGGTTCGATTTTGTGCATCGTCATGTCATTTCACATCTTTAAGACTTCAGCACCACGTCTGTCAGACCATCCCTACCAACCTTCGTTTCCGCACGTCCTTGGAAGAATAAAACTACCCAAACGAAGTCCTGGTTCAGTATTGGATCCATCTTGGGTAACGGGGTCCTCCAAATCGGGCATAATCTGATCGGGATCGCGGCATGGGATCGGATTTTCTCAGGTAGTCGACCTCTGCATGGATCACCTGCACCTGGCTCCCAACGTGCGTTTCCTTTTCAGTGACAAAGATGCACTGACCAATGGCAACTTGGCGCAAACTTGGCCCCCTGGTCCTCGTAATCCTCGTAGTCCTCGTAGTCCTCGTCCTAGTCGCGGGCCTCAGCATGATCATCAGGGAGCATCATTGCCATTTTCAATTATGTTTGCATGTGTCACATTTACCCATGTATCTACATGCATATATAGACATACAGACACAAACACACACACATACATATATTATATAACTTATATATATATATATACATAGATATATATATATACATAGATAGATATATATATATATACATATAGATAGATAGATAGATAGATATATATATACATATATATATATATAGACATATATATATACATATATATATATATTCATCTCTCTCTATATTATAAATATGTATAGTTACCGTGCATATACATGTGCACAAACATAAACATGAATATACACGAGCATATATCACTCGTGGCATACGCAGGCAAGACTGCAGGTTCACAGAGTTGTCATCCACCCCTACCTAAGCCTGCCAACGATACAGTGGTGTTCTTACTTTGGTATTGGTTTATCTTCATGTCCCTTTTAAAATGGATTGTTGGTGTTGGGGGTATATATATAATTTTGTGCACACACACAGATATATATATAGATACGTACACCATTTTTTAGACGCCCAATTGCGTCGTAAGTACTGCTTGAAATGTGAGACATCCGATGTTGAACTGTTGGACTGAAGGTGACCAATATGAAATATTCTGTCGACCTGGACCCAGTTCCTGAAGATGATCAAACAAATTGGACCCAGGTGCTTCTTCCACCCCCGCAGTGCGTTTCACGAAGCTGTTGTGACCAGCTCCGAACTGAGGTAACCCTGCATGCTGGCAGCAAGGCTATACCTTTCAGGCATGTGCGCAAAGATTTCCACGGGTTGAGCCTGGAAAGATGATCTCATTTAGCATGCATCCTTTTTTGGGTAATTAACGGGCCTTTTTCATGAGCCAACTATATATATATATATATTGATGTTGAAAAGTGTTCTGGATCACCATCCAGTTTTTCAGGTTGCTCCCACCTGTTGTGATTAAGTTGCAGGTTTGCTGCTCCCGCGGACGACCGGGAAATCCCATCTGTTTTTGGGCCGCAGGTGACCTTTTGGGTGGAGAGCCGCGGAAGTGACGTAGGGACCAAGGTAAACTACAAGTCTTTAAGCCGGCAATAGATTCAGAGAGGGATAGTTAATACATCATATACATATGATACATATGTGATTATATAAATGTAGAAGTCTGAGTGTGTGTGTGCGCCTATAATTGTGCATAGTTATATATATATCCATAAATGATCATAAATGAACACATAGATAAATCGATGCAGAATTATATGCATGAAAACGCATGCTGTATATGCATACAAACATGCGCACACGCATATATATATATACACATGCACATAGACGTAACATATAACATATAGATGCACACATGTATGGCCAAAATTGGTTGGCGGTATCACAGATGCCAGTCTTTTCCGTCCTACCTAGGGTGATTCAAATTTTAGGCATAGGTTGAAGCAGAAACCAGAAACCTGGCAGCATGATCCAAGTGGGTGAGATCGCCTGGCCACGTTGATATGGCTGCTGTTGATAGGGAGGAGCCTGTCTCCCCTTGGTCATTTGTTGCCCAAGCTTAGATCAGGGATACCATATCAGTGGGGAAGTGAACATCTATGACTATGAGCTGTTTTGATGTGAAGACTGGGGTTTCAAAATGGCTTCGATCTATATGGATCTATATGGAGGTTTCCAAAAATGATCCCCAAAACCACAGGTTTTAATACTAAAATGGTCTAATGACTTGGATGCTTTGGGGTTAACCCTATTTTAGGACCCTCCATATCAATTTCCATCGATTTGGCTGTCCCCAATGCTCCACAGTAACAGTCCAGCAAAGAGCCCCATGAGATACTTGCCTGAATCAAATGGATGAAATGGATGAAATGGGTGAAAAAAATAGAATCCCGGAAATAATTCAGGAAACATCTAGTTCACATCGGCCCTTGGTGAGCCCTCTCTTCGAGGAAAACCAAGGGATCCACCTGGCCTTCACCAAGGTTGGGACGACCTTCACACCTATGAGAGCTGCTGCCTGGGTGTGTCCCAGACCCTTCGAACCTTGCGGAGCATCGCGGGTCCGCTGCTGCGCGTGCTCTTCTGCGGCTGATGCTTGCTCTTGAAATGGTTGGCAAATATATGGGTATGAATGGTTGGTCATTGTGTGGCGTACCTATTTTTGTGACGTTTTGTAAACTCTCTCTCTCTCTTTCTCTCTCGTAGAAGAAATACGATTTGTCTACAGGGCTTGCCCAAAAAAAAAACACTCAAAAACTTCCTCAGTCGCAAGGCATACAGTAGCTATATATCAATCATGCATTCTGTGTCAAAGACCTGCTTCTATTGTAAATGTTGGGTGGGTTAGCTGTAGTCGTGCACTACAGCATTCCAACAGTGCGTTGCAACCGCATGACGTTCCTTGGTACTTGTCCAGATTTTTTTGGGCCATCAACATGTCTGACAGTCTGACATGTTTGTTTCGATTCAAGCAAACAAGTGGAAACACAATTCTGAAAACAGATATAATCTCTCTCTCTCTCTCTCCCATATATATATATACATACATAACCTTCATTTGTGAGACCTTGTTGCAAGAATGATCACTTGCCACCGAGGGTTGGGCCTCTCGGCTGTGGGCTTTGGTCTCTACCTGCAGCGACAGGTGCGGGAGGCCTGGGGCAACACAGGTGGCAGTTGGCACATCGTCGTACTGGTGGCCTACTTGTCCTCCTTTGGACATGCGCCTTGGCCGAAGCCTTGATCTGAGCGATCACGGTACCCCAACAGCTGGATGGTAACGGAAAATCCTTTGAACATGGATGATTTAGGGGTACCACCATTTTTGGAAACCTCCGTGTGGATTATTTGAACCCATCAAACTTCTCTTACTCAATCTTACTCTCTTTTTTGCAGGGTAGAATGGAGTTTGAAACTTCCTGCCGCGATGCCGGTCGTTCCCGCCAGGTTTTTTTTTGCTCTACAGGTGCGTCGGCCCGTGATTTTTCCATCGCCGCCGGGGTCTGCGGTTCTCGCCATGGTGCAAGTGGAGATTTGGTCCTTGACGCTGGCATCTGTAAAAGCTGTTGGTAGCATTGCTGTCATGGCTGCAGGCGGGGAGTTGTGGAGGATGGATATTTTTTTGTTGACTCTACTCACCCTCGGAATCGATGCAGCATTATACAAAGTGGACTCTTTCTCTCTCTCTATGTGAAATTTAATCATGATTGTAAATTATGATAAGATATGAGGATAAGTCAGGATAAGATCAGATTGAAGATTCTTGTGGCCCAAGTGTTTCTCTGTCGAGGAAGCGTTAGGGATTGCAACCGATTGCAAGCGACCGTGAAGCGTTCTGGTCGGTTGTGGCTGATATGCTCTCTTGAGGTCGGCTCCCAGGGAGCCCGGTTAATGTGCACACACACACAATCACATATACACATGTATATACTGTATATATATAATGATACATATATTATGCATATATCAAATATCAATATAGCCTGTGGCCTGTGTACTATATACAGATATACAATGATAAACAGCTACAGCGTAGCTATAGAGATTCAATGAGATTCATCTGCACACATGGAGTAGACGCCAGGTGGATTCTTGATGACTCGCCTGGGAATCATCACCAATGACGTCAGGAAGGGCCTGGGCGTCCTGGCATCGAGCTATGGCTGGTCAATGACTGGTAAATGGTTTTGGTTACCCTCTGGTAAACTCACATAACTATGGAAAATCACCATTTGTAATGGGTAAATCAACTATCAATGTCCATTTTCAATAGCTATGTTTGTTTACCAAAGGGTACGTACCACTACTAATAGACTACCAGAGCTACAGGGACATTGATCCTGAAGCTCCGGGGTCGGCGGTTTTCACGTTCGCCACGTCGCCCTTGAATGCCATGCCGGCGCTTGCGGCTTAGGTGAACTTTCGATGAACTTACTCCTGCCATGCCTGATGTTCAGTGGCTGGGCCTGGTCCCAGATGGTGGGGATCCATCAGTTTCATGCAGTTTCATGCAGTTTCATGGTCTAGGTCGGGATCAATGTTTGACCTTGGGCAACTTGGGGCCTCCAGAAATCTAGATATCCTGATTTCTTGGAGGTGTTCAGGTATTCCGGTATTCCACCTTTTGTGATTTTGCGGATTCATTTGTGTGGGTCTTTTCTGGGGAAAAACAACATGAATAAACACCCGTACAACTCTGGAATGAATCATCAACTTTTGGAGCACCAGGCCCCTAGCATAGCGTGTGGCGCTGCTCCCAGCGACTTAGGTCAAGTCATCTACTGCAATTCGAAGGAAATGGGAGGAGACGTTTGCCCCAACATGGCTCAGGCAGCGCCTGCGGGGGCGAACATTGATGATATTGACCGTAGGACCACCTGACAATCCTAACAGCCTGACAGAACAGGCAAATGTAGTGGCAACGCAGCTCTCACCTCTGAGCTCGGTATAATCTAGATAGATCGATGGATAGATCGATGGATAGATCGATGGATAGATCGATGGATAGATCGCTGGATAGATCGCTGGATAGATCGATGGATAGATCGATGGATAGATCGCTGGATAGATCGATGGATAGATCGATGGATAGATCGATGGATAGATGGATGGATAGATCGATGGATAGATCGATAGATAGATCGATGGATAGATCGATGGATAGGCTAGGATAGGATAGGACGGGACAGGATAGGATAGGAAAGATAGATAGATAGAGAGTAGATAGAGAGAGAGAGAGAGAGAGATAGAGATAGATAGATAGGTAGATGGATAGATAGATCGATAGGATAGGATAGGATAGGACAGGATAGGACAGGACAGGACAGTAATTACAGATCAGATAGATAGATATAGATAAATAGATCGATAGATAGATTAGATTAGACTAGATTAGATTAGATTAGGTTAGATCGATCGATAGATAGATATTTAGGCTGCTAGTGGCCCTTTTTAAACTTCAATGCATAAGATTGGCCCAATCCACCCCGCCGGTACCAATGAGGATTACCAGATCTCATCTAGCGTCTGCAGGAAAGCCTTTTCAATCCTTTTCATGTGGTTGGAAAAAGATCTGACTTCCTGCCCAATCTTTTTGAAGTCAACTAAGTAAACAACATGGCGTCCTCACCTCTCCCAGCAGCATCATCGCAGGTGATCATGTCTTCGGCTGACTCTTGGCTGCGTTTTGCGGGTGTGGGGTGGCCATGTGTGCCTGTCCAACATGGGGGTACTGTAATCCCATTTACGGCCATTTCTATTGGTAAAATAAGTCAATGAGATTGACCTCTGATTTATAAACATGGCCGCCCCCCTCTTTGCCCCTAAATAGACTTAAAGCCACCATCAAACTTGTTTGTATGTATTGGTTTTCAATTACCGCAATTTAAAATGATAATATAAAATGCAATTTGCAAAAAAAATAAGGAATCCAACAATTGTGTTAGTATTGATTTAGTATTCATCTGGGCTCTTTATTTAGGGGTAATTTATTATTTAGTTTGGGAGTTTGGTTAGCTTTATTCAGGGCAAGTTTATAAATCGTAGGTGAACATTATCCAATTTTCAGACAAAACCATGAGCCATGTCAATGCTGGGGCACCAGAACAATGAAAAATGGCTCTCAGTGCTGGGGTACCAATTTTCTGCCATTTTTGGAGTCGGCATTTCACCAGCAATAGCCATGGAAATTATATGGCAGCATCCATCGTAGTCTTGTGCTTCTGTAGTCTTCTGGCCCCAAATCGTTGTGCCCAGCTCTGACATTTTGCAATCTTGGCCCATTTGCCAAATTGGAATCAAACTCTGCGACAAGCACAAGAGGAAATCAAGGAACTGCAAGGCCAAGGGAGCTGGTTGGCCCACTTCTCATCAATCCAGCCGTCGCTGTTCTTCTGACCATGTCCAGACTTCTGCATGGGATCATGTCGATTTGCAGCGACTTGTGGTGTGACTCAGCAAAAGGTGGCTCAAATTTGGCATGCCAACTTGTTAGTCGTCGGATATAGATGCATTGTAATTATATAGACCCTTTTAACCCAACGCCCCAAAAAAAGAGGATGTCCTTATATGTGACCCCAAAATTGGCCCAGATTCACCACGGATATTCATTCCATTTAAACCTGTTTTCTGTGGGTGGCCTTTCCAATAGGTGACGGGAATAGTGGAACCTGTAAAAGCCATTCTGCGCGAATCCATTTGGGGTTGTCCTGTATCTAACTGAGTTACAACCCAGCAGTTCATATCTTTTTTCTTTTCTGAGAGATGCCCAACTAGGTGCCAGGATGCCCTTATAGAATGTTTGGATAGCACCCCCCAACAGAAATCTGCATACACATATGCAGAGTTTTTGTATATTATCGGATATAAACTCACGACGCCGGGTATAGATAAATGTAAATCAATGATTTTAAATGGATATGTGCATTTGTTGGCACAAATGCAAAGAAATGCATGCATTCCATACACAAATATTAGAGAGACGCAATGTAAATTGGATCACCTGTTGCCATGCAGGACTTGTTTATTTGGCCCATCGTGGTGGTCACCAGCGGCTGCTTGACTCCCATGATATCCCTGATGATTCTACATTATCCTCCAGTAAACATAGGAAAACCTATGGAAATCCATAGGTTACGTGCGAAATGAATCTGCACTCATGGTGTGTGTGTGTGTTTGTGAAATAATGTCATATTAGTTTACTGAAGAGTGGCCTCCAAAAAAGATAGACACGGCAGACACAGTTTCATTTATCACCATTTCGGTACCATGTTACTTTTCTATCTTTTGGGGGTTGCTATCATCATGGCGATATTTCATGGGGAAATTCGGATATGATGAAGATATTTCACGGAATGCAGAGTGATATATTTCTAGAAGAAACACGATGGGATATAAACTAAAGCTATCTAAAGCTATTCTGATTGTTTCAAGGGTAACTATAAATGAGGACACGAAAAGTAACAGAAAAATCATCTTTCAAGGATGTTGCCCGTGGTTTTCAATTGCCATGTTTGATTGTTGAAAGGGGTAGACTCATTAAAGCAGACACTGAAAGGGTGATACTCTGGATGAAAATCCACTGGATCAAAGCATCTCTGAGGGGTCAATTCTCTCAGGATTATTCAGATGTAGATTATAGAATCAACTCAATTAATAATTTAATCTCCCAGTATCTCCTAATAGACATCTCTAGAAGTCACTATTTTATCTATTTTTCTGACTAGTCAATGCGATCCGAAAGTGAACTTGCGTTGCCCGCTAGGATTGTTTGGGTGTGCCTGGACATTTGACTGAACCCCCGAAAGATGTTACAGCAAATCCCGCTTTTGGTTGGTTAAATCGAAGTGTTGCTGCTTACCCTCCAATAAACAAACATACTGTGGATCCACAGTAGCTATGGAATTCATGGGTTTCCTGTTTTCTTTCAGACATGACCTACCAACATTCATTGATGTTGGATTTTCATGGATTTTCCATATATTTACCGCGATGTTTAATGGTAATTTTTATAAACGGGCCATTTTCCATAGCTATGTTACAAAACATGGAAAAACCAGAGGCTTGATCCCATTATATTCCCATTATGTATCCATCCCTATTGTATCCCATAAATCCATATTATATCCCTATATATAAATCCCCATTATATCCCCATTATTATATAGTGTATGTCTATTGCATAATCTCATTATATTACACCCCATCCCCATCTGGTTGGTGGTTTTGAACATTGTTTATTTTCCA